GGGGGGGGGCGGAGTGAGTGGCCGGCCGTGGTCGTGTTGACTCGATTTAGGTTGCTGGGTTGAGGCGGCAGGTCCACTCCGCCGTTTGCTGTGATTTTAAGTATAGTGGTGAGCACTAGAATAAAGCGAGCCGTTCGTTCTCTGAACTGCGCCATGCTCGTCTGTGCTACAGAGTTCTTAAGCACAAATGGTGTTTGTTTTGTTTAACTATTTTAAAATCACCTTCTCTGTGTGTGCGGGATGCGTTATTTCACGCACGTATTAGCGTAGTAACGTTCAGTCTGGTGTAATGAAGCCGCACTCATCAGAATTGTGAACAGTATGACAGCATCTTACGGAGCAACGTAATACATTAATAAGATGTTTCCAATCTATTCGTATCTATAAAATAAGAGAAAATCAATAAATTATCTTTTTTCTACTCATCTTTAAAAGCAATATTCTCCAAATTTCCCAAATTTGAGCGTGAAGCCTTGAATTCTTATTTTTCAAATTTTGTGATTACAGGACCACTGTTGAGGCAATGGACTCAACCTGTGTTTTTATCTTCTTTGGAGAAGAGAAGAAAGTGCTTGTACGTGTAAGTATGGGTATGTAAGGAAAGATCGCGCATGGTCCGTGACCCGTGTGTGGTGGTACTGCTCCAGCATTCCCCTGCCGTTGATCGGAGAAACCACAGAAAACTGTCGTTCAGAGCAGCTGGTCGCCAGGATTCTCCTAAAAGTGGCAGTGTCAAAAATCCAGACACTGTCGGGACTCGAACCCTTGGACTTCCGGGTCATAGACATTGCAGTGATATCCTTTGTTGCTGTGAGTCACCTAAGCCGGTATGTGTTGAGCAGAGATCACCCGGAAAATAGCAGATCGGAACGCTGTTTTGCACAACTTTATCGCTCTGGAGCTGAATGGGAGTCACAGCCGCGGTGGCCTCTCAATATTGGCCATCCCTTTACACCTTTCTCGCGTTTCTCAGCTGATTTTATTAATTTAATTAAATAAATTGTATGTATTTAATTATTTACTAATCATCCAAGTCACTAATGCAGCGGTTTCCGAACATTTTACTTTTTTGTATACATAGGTAAACGAGGGCTAATATGGATTTAATATCTTTACCCTATATTACTTTATTGGAAAAATTATTTTAAATATATATTGTGTTAAAGCAAAGCCATTTTATAATATAATTAAAAAATTTAATTAAATGTACTCTTATGTAAATGACAGTGAACACTCATGACATGGCGTTCAAACCCAACTTAAAATAAATAAACTTAAAGATCATGTTAAAATTCAGGTATTAAATTGACGTTTTTACATAACTAATTTTCTCACACTTTTCATAGTTCTTGCAGCATTTTGAGAAGAAGAAAGGCATGAGGAATCTCTTGTATTTATGTAAATGGTGTCGATGAGTTTGCCAGTAGCTGGAGTGATATAGCGCAATGCTGATGAGGCAACTGCCTCAGTCAACTGGACGACGGCCTCCCATGTCGATGTCCTTGAAGTTGGTAGTTCAGCCTAGTAAGATACGAAGAGAATTCATCTGAGGTTGATTGGCATGATTTCTGTAAAAAACTTGTAAATTTGTGCAGGAGGGATGAGGTCCTCCACTCACAATAGTAAAGCAACTGGTGTGCAGAAGATAGGAGAGCCGTATCATTCACTGGAAATGCCGTCTGCGCCTCTCCTGCCCCTTCGACCTGCTCGTCCGCCTCCGTCCACCTCCTAGCGGAGTAGGCGCCAGCGTTCACCTCGGTCTCCTGCAAAAGCACACAAACCTTAGACAAAAATGACATAGGGGCGACAATAAATAGTCAATTATAAGTGCTAACGGAGAGACTTATTTGGTAATTTTAAAAATATAAATTAAATCTTTTGACTGCTCACTTAACACTGCTCCTGATGTGATTAGACTTTTGTCGCACATTGGGCAAGAGTTTTTTTTTGTTTTTAACACAAGTAGATGTTGCTGCACGCCAAGAAAAAATATTTGAAATAATTTATCTTTAAATCCTATTTAAAGCAGTAACGACAATACCACAACTGGGCATAATATCTTTAAAATTTATTTGTAATGCGTGGTAGTCGTCAAAGTACATACACTAGGACTGCAGTAACCTTGTAACTTGTGTAACACACTAACACGTACTAAACACGCACACATGCCAGGAGACCCGTCGGGAGCTTAGAGCTTGTCCAGCCTGGGGCGGTGCCTGGTGGGGGATAGGAGTCCAGGCGGGAGATACCTGGTTGGGGAAATCCCACTAGCCGACGGTAGGCCGGCACCGGATATTACAATACAGCGGGGGAAACCACCAACTCCAAGGAAAAACATCCACTACACTTACTGACCTAATGACTGGTAGTTGACGCACCTGGAATCACTAACAATCAATCGTAGCTAGTGTAACTGTGAACTGTGTCTTTGAACCAGAGTACTCTGCAAATCTGTGCCGAATGGAACATAGTGATCTCAGCCTCCGTGTTTCACGTAGCTTGCGACTTGCGATATTGCGTACGCAACACGTATTCCATCGTGCTGACCTCTGTGGTGAACGTCTTGTCTTGCGTGTCTGCGTGCGCGCACACACTACGAGTCTTCCAGCTATTGCAACCCCCCCGGCCTCTGTGCGTGCTTGTAACCCGTGCAAGAATATCAGCTCGTCATTAGCGTCAAGACGTCCTCTGCAAGACCATCTCTGCAAATTGTTATGGGTTTTCCTTGCAGGAGCAGTGATGCAACATTTCTGAAAAATGTTACTTGTGAATAACATCTTAATCATCTTCATGCGTGTATGTGTTGTACGACGAACTCCGCAACCAATGTTCCATTGTAAACTACCCTAATGATCTTAGAGTTTCAGTTAAAGTGTGCAATTCTACCTTTCCGTGCAGTTTGTTTTATGCACTGCACCGCGCTAATTGTAATGAAGAAACATACGTCAACAAATATTGAGTACGAATAGGAGATGAAATGAATAGTACTTGTATATTGCGGCCTCAGAATAATAAAATTCCATCTGACATTTTTGGCGTTATTCATATTTTGATATGTTCGAAGTTTGTCATATCTGCATCATACTAAAATTGTTTTAAAATAACACTGGCAGAAATTCTTCAATGATCAAACAGACACTGTTCCATTTGAATTTTGAAGTACTACTTCAAAAACCTCCAAACGTACAAACACGATCTCCAGGAAAATTCCCCCGAAGCCGGACAGAGGGGTGTCATTCTGAGGCCGAGATATGCCCCACACATTATTTGTAATCCTCATTTCGTGATTATATTTCCTTGTAAGAGTAAACGACATTGCAATAATACAGCAGTCGTCGGTGGAAAGAGGAGGAAAGAGTCGACTTGAGAATCGATTTAAGCCACTTTCTAGAGGAGAATTCTAGAGGTCGGCTGTTGTGATCGTTAATTTTCCGTGGTTCGCCGATCAACGGCAAGCGAAGGGCGTAGCAATGCCCTAACAAACGAGCCAGGTACAGCGCGCGATATTTCCTTCCCATTCCTTGTCCTATCCTACCCCTTACAAACACACTCTTACACTGACATGCACTACTTGTACGTACAATACGAAACATGTCGGGACATCAGGCGGTATCTTAGAGCTCGACCTGCCTGGGGCGGTGCCTCGTTGCTGGGAGATATCTTCTAGGGTAAAAGCCCACAATCCGACGGGTAGGTCGGCGGGAAGATCATAGAGATCCCCCGGGATAAAACATGCACTACACTTACGGAACTAATTACTTTATCAGTTGACTCTCTTGAAATCACTAATCAATGAATCAATTGAGAAGACTTACTGTTCGCTCGCCGCTCGACCCAACAGTAGAGCGCTAGCGCGCCGGCCAGTATCAACAGCAGTATCACCGCCAGAATCACCGTGTCTGTGACCGTCCTGCAAATCATTACTGTGAGTCAGAAGTGCATAGTATCTTAAGATCATATACATGCAAGTCATATACAAATGAGGTTGAATTATAAATACAGGTAGCAGCGAGCGTTTTGACAACAGTTGGCAAGAAATATTTGCTCATACGTAATAAAAACTGCAATTATACCTCACTGTCAGGCCTGCCCTCTTAATGCCAGATTCGAACAGATAATAAAACATATTTGTATGCAAATTTTACGACTTAACAGACCATCCACCGATCAGCTTCATAATCAAACATTTATTAATTTATCTCTTTTAAGATACCACTGTCATGAAGTTTGTGAGACTATAATACACCGAAGTATTTATATTAAAATTACAAAAAAACATTCGAGCTACATGATCAGTTTCTCATCTTCATCCTAGAGGAAACCAGTGGGTAGAGAAACTCCGGGGAACTCAAATAACTATACCGCCTATCACCAAAAATAAAACATATTAGCGCATTTTTATTTTGTATATTTTCATATTTCTAAGAATTTTTTCATGTAAGAAAATATGCAACGCCATATTTTAATGTATGCGTCATATTTAAGTGCATGTATTACAGGTTTTTGTGAAGAAGTGGGTCAAAGTCAGATATTTTCGTCCACTCTTTTGAAACAAAAGGCATTTAAACAATGTCAAGGCCACAATACCATCATAATAATTCTGTAGTATAGAGAAAGTGATGTATGCTACGGCTAAAAATGGTGATTTTTAGAAAAACTCGTATTTTGAGGCTCTGATACAGAATATAGTAAACACATCAATCTCTCAATGTGAAGCAAATTATTTTCTCTAACATGTTAAGTAGTTAGATTTTACGAATTATGGGTATTTGATATCCAAAAAATGGTGCTGTTTTTTAAAAACTCCGACTGTCTGTGAACAACGCTTGCCGCCTATACTATTTGTAGGATTTTTTCCAAACTGAATATTTCCTCGTCGATCTGGCTACGCGGCGAAGCTCTCCGTGTTTGAGAAATATTCTTTAAAATTTGGAGAATTTTATATTACTATAATTTGTTAATTTCAGACATCAATTGTTAAGAGACAAATTACTTACGCGCCGCTAATAAGGTAGTTCTTAAGAAGGGAAAGTTAAGTATTGCTGTGGGTAAACGAGGCGAATTTTCGGCTGAGAAACTCTTATTGCCGGGCCCTGGTGCCGAATAAGTGGGAAAATTCAGTTGCTAAATTTATAAAAACAATCCTCTAACACGTGGTATTCTCAGAATCCTTGTTCAGTGGGCTTTTGATGCAGAAAAAATTGATTACTTCTGTCTGTGAACAACGCTAACGGCTAAACCGTTCAGCTGATTTTCTTCAAAATTGACATTCTCCAATCGATCTGGCTGATGTCGCGGTCCCTTGAATATGTAACCAATATATTCATTTTGGGGGTACTTTACATGAAGCCCTTGAAACATTTTCAAAATTTCCAAAAAATGTTTCCAAGGCTTTGATCAAACTTTGTTATTGGATAGTGTGAAGCCGGTTTAAGAGAATGGTGCAGGTCTCATGTTCATTAAAAACCCTCATTTCTCTAAAATTGCAAAAGTTCAAAATTTTTTCAGCGTCTTCCTACAACTACAATGTTAAAGATATAGATTTTTTTCTTTAGTGAAATCTGTTCCTTAAAGATAGATTTCGAAATAAGGTCATGAACAAGTTTTCGAAAATTCGAGTTCTGTTCACGTAATTTTGGTTCAAATGCAGGCAATTTTTTAATTTTATTACATTTTTTCTCAAAAATGTCACCCACAATTTCGATTAAATTTTGACCTCGAATAATGCATAAGAGAATGGGGTAGGTCTCATGTTGGCTGACAATTCTGATTTTTTTAAATGGCAAAATTTCCACTATTCTGGACTCATCTGACCAAACCACAGTTTTTCAGTCGTCTAGAGACCAATCACAGGCCCAGGTGAGGCGCTGCAGACAATGTCGTGCTGTTAGCAAAGACACTAAATTAGGTCTTCTGCTGCCAGAGTCCACTTTAAGTTCACCGCATTGACATAACGGATAGGTTTAGCGTACGTCTATCATTAATTTAAGCGCTTATTTAACGCAATTTTGTCTGTTAGTACTGACAGTTCTACGCAAACACCATTGCTCTCGGTCATTAAGTAAAGGCCGTCAACCATTCCGTTGTTCATGGTGAAGGGTTATACCTGAAACTCTCGGCACACTCGGATCATTGAATTCTCTAGCTCTTTCCAATATGGAATGACAAAAGCGTCTAGCTAAAATTACCATTCCGCGTTCAAAGTCTATTAATTCCCGTTTTACGGCCATAATCACGTCAACCTTTTCCCATGAATCACTTTAATAGAAATCAATGCGTTTTCTAATGCACTGCCTTTTTATACCTATTGTTCACGATGTATATTTATCTATTGCTGTTCCATAATTTTTGTCACCTCAGTATTTACACAGTAAGAAAGTTCGTTCGAAAACCACGTAAATACATACATGTTTTCAGCTGTGTTGGAAGCTTAGGTACATCCCGAATACTTCGTGAATTACATTCATACCATAATCTTTCCATATTGCCTTGGCCTAAAAGACAACTGTAGCAATCTCTGTTTTTATTTTAGGGTTTGGACTTACTTCCACTCCCAGAACAATGGTACAAGTACCGAGTGTGGCCACGGAATACCATAGGTAAATTTTTAAAATGTCCCAGGGGCTTCGTGTAAATTACCCCCAATTTTTTCGACGCTAGATATGGCGAGATTGAATTCATCCGCTGTCTGGAAGAGAATTTTAGCAGCCGACTGCTCTGATAGGTAGTTTTCCATAGTTTCTCTGATTAATATCACGAGAAT